TCATGGCCTACGAAAAAAAAAGGCAAAAAAAAAAAAAAGATGTTTAGGTTACAATGAGAAAAGTTGGAGAATAGACTTATACATGTAAATATAATACTAATTGTATAGCATGGCATTATGTACGAATATATGGCGCATGTGTTGCAATCGCTATGTGTGTGTGCTTCCCGTTGCGTATGCACCATTCCGCATCGAGTATCGAAGTGTTGACTTGTTAAAGTGGTGGCAATTGGTTCAAGCCATTCTGTGGATGTAACTCTAGTGGTTGTTGCTGTTGTTGTGCACGCACATGTCATAATGTTTGTGACTGATCGTTTACATTTGTCTGACTTATCTCTTAACACACATACATATGTACATAATATCAGCTTCAATTTCAATAAGCCTCACAATCGAGCTTGTTTTATTTATGCAACGCTTTTTTGTTGTATGTTTAAAAATACATATACTACTTATGGGCGCATAACAATTACACATATTGCAAGAGCATAAGACATTTAGTAGTAAATAAACACATTCACATAGAGATCATTAATTGTTTTGTTGTGGTTGTTATTGATTTTTTTTTTTACATTTAAATTGTCGAAAATAAACGAGTGACAGCAAGGAAAAGAGAAAGAGAGAGAGAAAGACAAAGAAAATAGAGAAAAAAGAGATAGTAAGTGACATTGATAAATATATTTTTATGTCAGTTTAAGTTTGTATATAGCGTATATTATATATATAATTATATGCTTATGTTATAAATTGTATATATAAAGTAATACGTTAATTATATATGAATAAAAATCGAAATGAGACAAAGAAAAAAATTACTTGGCATAACGGTATACGTAGTATTTGATGAAAATTGTAAAAGAAAAACATGCACCCTTAAGGTTATATATGTATATATATATATAATGTGGCATGTATTTATAAAAATGTGGCGCGTGGTATGCTTATATATAACTATATGGTATATAATCAAGTCATACGTACTTATAGCGCTGTGTTATGTGCAGCAGTGCATTAAATTTTAAATGTTTATGTGCATTTATTTACTGTTATAAAAGTAATGTAAAAGTTTATATATACAAACACTTAATATATAAAAAATTTATGAAATATTCGTTGTTTATGAAACAAGATGAGTTGTGATTTGGAATTTGTATGAGTTGTGTAGATAATCCACTAAGCTCGCTCAATTGATTCAAATAAAAAGGTAGTCATGAGAGTTACTTGTTGATGGGCTATGTAAGGTTAGATTACGGTGGATGGCTGATCCATCAGCATCGAATGAACATCACACTTGGACTATTATGGAGATAATCAGCTAAGCATGCTTGACTTATTCAAATAATGATGGAATTTGGATTAGTATGTAGAGTCCTTCGTGATGCCAAACGAAAACTGATGAAGTTGAATATCAGCTATATCAACCACCGGCAAAAATGTCCTGAACCTATCACAAATCCGCTTATATATTTCATGTCCACTTTCGCTATTCTACCTGGATGTCTAAAAGTATGAGAGCCGAGATGTCTTTGCCTTGAAATGTGCAGTAATCAATGGTATATTTTTGAATGTAATTGAAGGAATGGTTTTGCAGAAACTTTGGAAGAATTTATTTTGATACTGAACAAATTTTGAACACTGAACAAAAGAAGGTGGTTGTAAAAATGATCAGAATGCATGCAAAATGGTCTTTTGGTTCGAAAGGATGTAAACTAATTTCAGTATACAAGATACGTTATATAGCTATGGCTAGCTCTTTGTATGTCTTTTTTGAAACTTAAACTTTATGGTCATCGAAAGGATAAAAACCGCTTGAGGACTAGAAAATCACAATTTATGCATTTCCAATTTCATATACGAGTATATCATTGAGAAAACTGTTAAAGTTTTTCTCTTAGCGTTGAAGAAAACGAATCATCCATGTATGCATGTATATGCTTTGAAAGATTTGCCCTAAAATAAACATATCATTTAGTTGAAAAAGAAGTTGTTGGAAGTCTTCACCTAAAATTTTCTTCATTTTTTGTTCAATGAATAGGTTGAATGTTTTGCTTAAACCTATCACAGCTGCACTTGCGCACTTGACTTACAACCTACGGCATACAATACAAACATACAGTTGTATGTTATTATATAATAGCATAAATGCTCAAACTACTTAATTTTTACAATTTTTCCTTTACTACACAGATATATATGTATGTATTTTTGGTACAATTATTACGAAGTCTATGCTAAAATACTAGAAAATATTTTTTTTATTAAAGGGAGAATGTATGCATACTTTTCGCTGGGCTATTGTTGGGGATATTTATGCTTTTTGAGTTTGAGTTCTGTATCCAAAAATGTAGGCGGGACTTTGAGTGGTGCATTATTTTGATATTTTCTTCAACAGATTTCTCGGTTGTGTGTTAGCTATTATCTATCACAAATTTGCTTAAATCTGTTTTGCTGCCTAAAACATAAACGCTCTGACGATTTGCTGGGCGAACAGAGCTACATATGTTGGCAGTAACAGAATCGTATGAATACATTATTTATATTAGTTATTTAATTAAGACTATTAAATCCTATAAATGGTACTATATATGTGCTTGGCTAGCTATTGCTGCCTATGAACGGTTGAATGATGGAGTGGTTTTATATAAGTATGGTGTGGTTAGACGATATCTTGTGTATGTTTCAGAGAATGGCACGTATTTTATGGAGTCTGCTATAATGGTTTAATGCTGGAGTGTGACAAGAAATTTATGCTGCAAAAATTTCTTATTTTTCTGGACTCATAAATTTCTTTTTTTTTTTTTAATTTTTTCTTTTGGCCTATAAGTACGGTAGCCTTCAAAAACAGATATTTTCATAATTAAATTTTTTTAACAATTGCTTTACTATTTTATATGTGTATTACTTTTTTGTTAAACTAATTTCATGTGTTTGTGCGAGCTATTTGATGAGATGTTTTGAAATATGTTTTGTTTTTCTTAAAAAAAAAAATTGAGTTTGTAAAAAATATCGTAAAAGTCAGTAAAACACATCAACAAAATACGCAAATCTTATAGAAATTACATGAATGAGTACTAAAATGTATATGGAAAAAATTTTGCGTTTTACTTACATTTGCAGTTTCTTCGTTTCAGTGTAATCTCAGAGGTTAGGGCTCATTGTGTGTATGTTATTTATTTTTTGAGGGAGTTTAGTAAAAGAAAGAAATTGTACAGATTAGCCAGTTGTTTGCTGAAATTTGTGTCTCATAGATTGTTTTTGTTTGTTTTTTTTTTTTCTTTGTAAATAACAATTTGCCAATATCAATAACAAATCACCAATTTCGAACAAGTCAAAAATGCAATTTCGTACAGTTTTGCCTTAACTACATAAGTACACTATATATAGTCGGCTGCCTTCAGCGCAGCAACGCTGTCTTTTGCGAGTACATGTGTGGGTGGTATTATGCAAGTAAGCGAGCCAACTACGTTGCAGTGTTGGAATTTTTAAGGTTAGTTGTGACTTTTTCGACTCTTACAAGTATTTCGAATAGTTCGCGTGTTTCTTTGGACATTTTTTCAAGAGTGTTACGTTTGCCTAGATTTCGCTTGTGGCTTCCAGAGCAGAGTGAAATAGAATTTTTTATGTTTTGTAGTTTTGAGAATGCTTTACTAACAATGCGCTTACTGTGCTTTAAACAATTTTTTATGTCTCATTTATTATTGTATTAGATATTTGTTGTTATGTATGCCAAAATTTGCGTACTCGTTATTAAATGATAGTTGTTGTTCGTTTTTTTTTTGTGTTTTTTGTATTTTAAATTTTTTTTTTTTAATTTTGAAGGCATTTTCGTTTTAGGTTTTCTTTCTCTCTCTCTCTCTCTCTCTTTCTCTCTTATAATTCATTAATTATTTCATCGCTGCTTTATTTTCGCATTTTTCAAACTGTCACTCTGTTCCTACCTAGATTTTTTTGCACAAAGCAGAAGCGAAATGCTTTGCTACGCGGCCGCCACCTTTCCTTTCGGTTTTCGCGAGCGTTTGGTGAACAAAACTTTTATAACGCTCAAAAGCGTTACCACGTAGTGTTCTTCACTTTTTTTTTTAAGTGTCCACAGTTTTGTTGCATATTTATTGTTTCTTGTGTTTTTTTTAGGCAGCACTGCTTTTGTTGTTGTTAGTGGAATAGCGTATGTGGCATTCGTTGACAGTGTTGTTGTTTGGATTTTGCATTGCGTGCTTTGGTTTTATTTTATAATTTTATTTTATTTTTCTGGTTTTATTGTTTTGTAATCTGCTGAGTGGCGATTTAACGGTTTTTATGTATTTTTTGAATTCTTGTGGCTTGTTTAGTGTGTGTTTTTATCAACATTTTCCCGTTAGCTCATTGTGTGATTCATTTTATTTGCTTTGTGTCTGTTCTTCCGTTCGCTGCATTTACGCATATTTGTGGCAAGTATGTCTTTACAATGCGCAAATATGTATGTTTAATTTTATAATTTTTTTTTCAAATATTTGTTTGTGTTTCTTTTTGTAAGTGATCTTTTCCATATTTGAAATTAATAATTTATTCGCATTTTTACTGTTATCTGCTATTTGTATATGTAATCCTGCGTAAATGTAGTGTTAATTGTTTGGTTGAAATAATTTTTTTGGTAATTTACTAAATTATTTAATGAGTTTTTAAACAATTAATCATTTACTCCTTTCATTTACATGTATATACTTGCTTTTAGTTGTATATTAGTACGTAATTATTTATTTGCTATATGTTATATGTGTATATATTTATACGCTAGTATATGCGCAATTTGCTATCAGCATTTCGGTTGTATGTCCTTGGGTGTTTTGGTTTTGCTTGTTTGCTTTGTTATGGTCCACGGTTTTTATTTTGGTTACTGCTGCCTGCTTTTGCTGCAGTTGTTGTTTGAGTAT